CCTGTAGCCAGCCCCTAAGAAGGCGTGGCTACAGCTTCCCCTACAGGTTTTTCAAGACAGGGTTTCTCTGTGTAGCTTTTGGAGCCTATCTTGGCACTCACTCTGGAGACCAGGCTGGCCTTGAACTTATAGAGATCCGCCTGCCTCTGCCTCCCGAGTGCTGGGATTAAAGGCATGCGCCACCAACGCGCGGCTGGAAAATATATTTTTTAAAAAGGAAATAAATGACTGAAACATCTATGGGATAAGAATATGTGGAAAGGTATTATGATCTCTGTTCCTAATATTTTTGTAGAGTTTCAGGGCAATTGGGATATTTGAGAAAGCAAAAGCGTGAGCAGATCTCTACAGTGGGAAGGTTCCATTTGATGAGACAGAGGATGTACAGAGTCTTCAATAATTTCCCAAAAAGCCTGGAAATTCATCACTGACCAGTCCTACTCCTTCTAACTGACAAGACTATAAGACATGAGTGAACTGAAGCAATGCATTTTTCCCAGAATTATTAACAAAACTATTAACAAAATTATTAAAAATTCATGACAACACAAAATTAGCTGATAATGGCTAAATGATACTTTTGGGAATACTGGAAGAAAAAAGTACTTTAGTTGCAGTTTTTATGAAAATCAATTTTGTAATGATTTGACACAACTTGAATGACAATATAGTACCCAAGGAATAATGTAACTTGTGTAATTTAAGTAAGCAGTATTATGTCTGCTATCAAAACTAATAAAATAAACTTTATGAAATTAAATATTTAATGCTTCTAGTATTTAATTCCCACTAGAAAACTTCAATATGAAGCAAAAAGCCTAGCAGCAATAATTATTTCCTTCATAAAATATAATTTGTTAAAAGTTTTATCCCTCATATGTGAAAAGAATGACCAAATATTTGAAGAGAGACACTGGGATACTAGGAAGTCTTCTACGCTGTCTTTTACTTCTTCTGGAAGACAAAACTAAATAACTGGTATTTTCTCAAATGATACAACTATGATTAAAAACAGACAGGCATTAAAAGGGAAAGCCAAAATTATTTTGGCATTGGAATTAAGAGACTTTGATTTTAATATTGCCCCTAGCAACTAATGTATCTGGGACTTATTTCCCCATTGTGTTAAGCACGGTATTGCTGTTGATCCCAGCAATAGTTTAAGTTCTAATCTATTATGGAAGTAAAACTGCTATACAATTTATTATTAATGTTACAGCAGTTTTCAAGTGCTGAAGCTATATAAGTAAAAGACTCATTTCATTAACTAATGATTCACCATGAAAACTGAAACATTATGGGAAAACTTGTGTCAAACAGTCTTAAAAAATTATCCTTTGTTTGGTTGTTTCTGAATGCCCTATCAATTATTGGGGTTTTAAAAACATTTGTTGATTACCCATTATGGGTCTGGATCTTATACTGAAAATAAAACAAATGGGTTATTTATACGGTAGATCTGGTATTGTATTTAATGACCTTTATTAGCAAAACACATTGACTAATACGTGGAATTAAAAACAGATTACTAAATACAGTGGAGGCCAGGTAGTTTCATCCACTTTACATCAGTTGTATAATACTTAAATAAATTAGCTATTATACAAAGACACAGTCTCCTCTGAGACAAAAAAAAACTGGTATCACCATTCTGAAAACCTTGTATCATGCAGTCCCAACACTAACCAACACAGTTCCAGCATGTCCTGCATGTCAAGGCACTGGTGTTTAGAGATAGTATGTGACATTTCCCATGACACCCACAAGCACTATTATTGTCATTCTCAATCAGAGAAAAACAGAGGCTTGAGTAAGTTAAGTTTTCCAACTGGTCACAAACTTAAGTGTATGGACTAAACTTTGGAGAGCTAAACATTGCTGGATACTAGGCATTTGCTACTGCTCTTCCAGGTGAAACAGAAAGATTTTCCCAATCCCCAAGATGCTGTGTTATTATTATTATTATTATTATCATTATTATCATTATTATTATTATTATTATTATTATTATTATTATTATTTGCTGCAAACTTGAGTCAATCAGAAAGAGGGAAGCTCAAATAAGGAATTGCTTCCATCAAACAGATGGATCTGTGGGCATATCTAGGAGGCATTTTCCTGATTAATGATTGATGTAGGAGGGCCCAGTCCATTGTGGGCAGTGCCTTTGGAGGTGGTCCTGGGACATATAAAAAAGCAGTCTGACAAAACCTGGAAACAACCTAGATGTCCCTTAAAAGAGGAATGTATAAGGAAAATGTGGTACATTTACACAGCGGAGTATTACTGAGCTGTTAAAAACAAGAACAACAGGAACATTGGAGGCAAATGGATGAAACTAGAAGAAAAAATCATCCAGAGTGAGGTAATCCAGACCCAGAAAGACAAACATGGTATATAGTCACTCGTAAGTGCACATTAGCTGTAAAATGAAGGATATTTATGTTACAATTCACAGATCCAGATAGACGAGGTAACAAGGAGGGCTCATGGGGGAATGTCTGGATCTCCCTAAGAAGGGGAACTAGAAGATTTCATGGGTAGACTGAGGGTAGGTGGGGATGAGAACATGAGTGATCAGGTTGGGGGAGCAGCAGGGGGAATGCTGAAAGAGACTCCTAGAAAGGGGGGGCATTTCAGGGTCTCGGTTTAAAAACCTGGAGCAAGGGAATCTCCCAGGAATATACGAGGATGACCCAGCAAAGACCACTAGCAATATCAGATCCGTATCCTAAACTGGCCATCTCCTGTGACCAGTTGAGACTTCAAGTGGAGGGAGTGGGAAACCAACCCAGCCACAGAACATTTGACCCACAGTCTGTCCTGCCTATGGGATATGCTGGGGTAAAGGTGGCCTAGAGATGAGGCAGTTGCAAACCAATGAGAGGTCTAGCCTAAAACCCATGGC